TTTGCGCGAATGAATCTGCATATCCTTTTGTTCATATATCATGTTTGTCCGTACCTGTATGTAACCTCCGTTTCAGAGGAATATACAGGTATGGACTTGAAATTTTTCTCTATTTTCTACAAATTCAGTAGGTGCCATGGGATCTGGCGTGCCTTTGTGCGCGGATAAATCCGCTTATCCTTTTGAGTCTGGGTGGAGTCTGTACCTGTATGAAACCCCCTTGTCGTGGGATATACAGCTATGGACCATAATTTTCTCTAATTTTCATAAATTAGTGGGTAGAGGTACCAAGAGATCTGGCTAGTTGTACATGTATGTAACCTCCTTTCGTGGGAATATACAGGAGCTGACCGAAAATTTTAGCTGTTTTAGAAAAGTAAGAAAAAGTGTCGGACCGAAAGCGGAGGGCGCGCACCGAAATGCTTGTGTAGGCTTAGCATAGAACGAAGTAGTATATTATGATGAGTAGAGAAAAGTAAATCCTCAATCTGAGTGGCGTGATGAGTGAAAGGGTTGAGTTATCCTGACGGATGACGCCAGGGATGGTGAGAAGGAGATAACGACGCCATGATATTAAAGCTCATGTTATCTTCTTCTTCTTTATTATTGTCATTTGTGTAACCTTTCTCTCTCATGGACATCACCCTTAGTTTCAACCCTGCCGTGGCTCGGTAACGAGACTAAGGTGCCGTTTTCACGTAGGTGAATCCGCGCTTACCCGTCGTGATTTATTTCCTTTGTTACCCATTTAGGTAACTGCGTGCTAATCGCTATCGGTGTTTCCTTGCTTTCCCTTTATTTACTGCGATTTGGTTGTTATATCGCGATACTTTGCCACTGATAATTGCTCAATTTTACCGAGCTTGTTGTATAGGTGTGTGTCCTTTTATTTTATTTGTATGAATGTCATCACGTACTAAGTAGATATATACCCCGGGAATCTGTTTTTTTTTAGTCTCGCTCCGCTACCCGCTTTCCTTCCTCCGGGAAATGGAGATCCGATTGTTCCTATGAGATTTACTGCGCTTGCTTCAATCACTTCGGAAGAACGCTGTTGCTACTTCGAACTCCTCGCCGGTTTTGGGGCTGGGTGCAGTCTTGCGTCACTTGTTTTCTTAGGCCTTATGTACGGGAAAGGGAGGAGAAATAAGGGTGGTACAGGACTAGGGAAGTGGTCGAACGACGAGCGTTACTGGATGACGGGAACACGAGTAATAGCTACGGCTAGAATGGCAGGCGGTCGGCGTATCCCGGGACGAATTCGGCTCCGGCAGGAAACCCACCCCCACCCCCACCAGGGATTGCCCCGATCGCCCCTATTGCAACTTACGGAACTCCACACGCTCCTATGCCGGCGCAGGCTCCGACTGTACAGTACCAGGTTCCCCCCAGTCACTGGGGTGGACAACAATGGCAATGGCCCGGACTATGGGGCGCTTTGCAATCACCACCGGTGCAGGTGGTGCAACCCGCCCCTCCTCCTCTTACTATTCTAAGTCTCTCTGCTCCTCCTCCTCGTCCCCCTCCACCTCCACCTCCTACGCATGCTTCCAATCCGCCCGCGCAGCAAGGGCAAACCAGAAGTGGCCACGCTGGTGGCGGGAAAGGGTCTGCGGCAAACGCGTTCCCGGGACCAGGTAACCGTGCCTACTTCACAAAGGAATATATGGACATTCTTGAGAATATCAAGATGAATAAGGCTCTTGAAGGTGCGAAGAAGAAGATTGCGGCTCCGAGACAGCGCCCCCTGAAGATCGTGGGGATCCCGGAAGAATCCAGTCGATCTGGATCAAGATCGACTGACAAGACCGATGAAATGAAGGCCTGGTGTCTTCTACTCTCAGCGATTCGCTCAGGTTGATAACGGCGAAGTTGGAAGAAGTGGATAAGAAGCCCAATATTTTCGCCGCTGAGAAAGCCCAGTTGGAGATGCTGTGGAAAGCGAAGGCCGCAGAGTCAGACGCAGGTGGGAACAAGGATGGGAGTAAAGATAAGGAAGCATCAAGCAGTGAGAAGAGGAAGAGAGCAGTGGCGCGCACCCCGCTGGAGAATTCACCATCCGCTGCGCGTGCAAAGCGCCGATCACGTGGGAGTTCGAAGTCCCGACCGAAGAGGATCGAGATTTCATCAGATGAGGAGGCTGGCGGCAGCGTGAAACAGAATCTCCAGCCTAAACTGGAGAACAACAGCGAATTGGCCGACATCAAGAGGATGCTGGTGGCGCTGATGCAAGGGATAGGCGACACGAAGGGTAAGGCGAAGGTGGTCGAACCAACTCCTCCTGAGCCTATTGTTACGGAGGCTGGGGCGAATGAAGATGTTGACCTCGCTCAGAACTCCACGCCTGCCGAGGAAGAAGAGGATGATGAGGGTGGCCTTGCTGCTTACATGAAGGTGCGTGGGGAGTATTACAGCTCGTTGCACTACACTAGAGTGCAGGAGGTATGCAAGGAGAAGGGGATTCAATACTTTCGTAAGGATATGGGGGTGTGGGAACTTGTCAGGCGCGATGTGCAAGAGTACGCAGATCTCCTCAAGGAAGGGAGAGTCGAGCCATCGACGAAGAAAGGACCAGATGCTGCTGTTGATGAGTCATCTGCATCGGACTCTGACAATGTGAAGGGAAACTGAACCTATGCAGTTTGAGGTCGCTTGTTCGGCTGACCCGAAGAATCATACGGTTGAAACACGATGACTCCTGGAGACAAGTTTTAGACAGTATTCACCTTCTTATTATAGTCCTGGCATGTCTGCTCGATGCTATAGTATGGGGAAACGCCTACGTTGCGTACTGGTTACGAATGTCCCGTGCTGACTGGGATCGGTTACTTAACGCCAATTGCTGTGTTTATGTTGTTATGTCATTAACTCACAAATTGGTTTATGTGGGAAAGACAGTTCGTCCACTGCGAGAGCGCTGGGCAGAACACCGACGGTCGACCCGAGGGGATAGCAAACAGCGAATCCACTCGTGGCTCCGAAAGGTCGGGGACGATCACTACGTTCCTATCCCGATCTGGTTCGAAAACACCTCGGCGATTGAAATGCTAGAATAGGCCGTCATCAAGGGTTGTAATCCCGGTCTAAATGCACGTGGCAAAAATAAACAGCGTCGTAGCAGGAAACCTCGTGGTAAACAGCGGAAAGGTAAAAAGGTAGGACTGTCCCCGTCAACTATTTATGAACCACTTTTGTTCACATGCTTTGACATTGATGTGCATTGCGAACCGGACTTACTTTGGATCTTGAAATCACTTGAGAAGAATAAGAAACGTCGTGGTATTCTGGTCCACAACAAAGCTGGGGCAAGATGGTAAAAAGCTTCGCGTCTTGTTGTGTTGCTATTTGGGTTTTCAAAAATAAGGATGAATGGGGACAATCTTCTACTAAAAGATGTGAAGGATCGTATTGAACAAGGGGTTGAATGGCTGATCGTCGAATTATTCCGCACTCGAACAAAATTTGAATTGAAGAAAAGCGAGTTGATTGCCTTGCTCCGCGCCCCTTGGAAGAGGCGGGATTTGTATAAATGTGACTTGAATGAACATATTGAGCTCAACAATGCTGTAAAACTCATTAACCAGGAACGTAGTCGACAGATTGTCTGGGGCATACTTACCAATGTTTTTAAGAAGAAATTTGGTATTAATCCTCGTGTTAACATTACCGTAAAAATTTCATATTGCATGACTATTGATAAGGCATGTGTGGTCACGCAGCTAAGAAATTGGATTAGAAGCGAAGTGCTTCCTACGTCACTGGCTGACCTGTATGCTAAGAGAACCCGGACCGTGTGGCTCAAAGCAAAATCGGTCGGGGACCTCCTGCATAACCAGGGTCTTTGCACAAAAAAACAATCTTGTGTGCGCTTGTGCGGACCTTGACTTGCCTTGTAGTAACGGGCACGTCGCAGTCAAGCTGAGTGAAGTAGATGATATCGATGCTTTCCTTTCGAATGCTAAGAATATTCCCTTTCCTGGGAAGTTCGTTGTTAAAGATGGATTGAACATGGCTTGTAATGAAGCCTTAGGATGTTTGTGTAGGATGGGGATCGCTATCCGTCCTTTTAGGATTGACTGTGTCACTGCTTGTAGACCTGGAATAAAAAAAACCGTTTGGGTGTGTCTTAGTGGAATACGTTCTGGGTGTGAAACATGCGTTCTCCGGTCTAGTGATGTCTCCTCTGGATCGGAACTCGAACGAAACTTGGATTGAATATCCTTGGCGGTACGACGAAGGACTAAAAACAATGTTTTGCTGAATGAGAACTATGAGGTTGTGGATACTGACAAATGCAATTTGTTGCGCCATATGAGGGAAAAATACGTTGAATCTGGTTTCTCAGACATAGCAAAATGAGACTCGAGCGGTGTCTTGCAGCATGCCTACATCATGGCAAAAGATAAAGACAAAGAAAGAAGAAGACCCATTGTCCCTTCTTTTTTGAGTCATTTTCGAACTGCTGCCAGTGTGCTTTCCCTGGGATTGAATGAACTGGTGCGTCGAGTTAAGGTTCCCCACTTTAACTTGAGGTCACTAAGCGGTGTTATGGAAGAAATTAACTCCGTGAATGAGAGTTGTCAGAAGAACTTGAAGCTCAAAGTCATAGCGCGTTCTTATGACATTAAGGAGATGTTTACACAACTCCCTCACGCCGACATACGGTGTGCTGTGGAATGGATTATTAGCCTCTTCTCTGAAAAGAACGTGAAATGGCTAAGGTTTAACCTACGGAAGAAACTTGTAACCTTTGGGAAATCACACGGAGAGGCAGGTTGGAAATCAATGAGGGTAAACCTGCTTGGGAAATTAACTAGCTTCCAGCTCGACAACACGTTCTTTCTTGTCGCCGATCGGGTACTGCGTCAGAAAAACGGGATCCCCATGGGAGGTCGTGCTAGCCCACCGCTTGCGTGTGTTATGTGCATGTGTGTCAAATATAAGTTCATCAAAAACCTGGGTTCCGATGCTAACTTCATAAGGGGAAAACGATACATTGATGACTTGTTACTCCTGGCACAATGCGACACCAACGATCGTACTAGGATTGAAACAAAGTTGGATTCGATCGAGGACTGCTACCCTGATGGGTTGAAACTAGAACGCACCGACGCTGGGAACGGGATCCTCGATTTCTTGGAGACTCGTATTGTGGTTACTAATGCGTCACCAGCAGTAATGTTGTCACATAAGTTCAAAAACGCTAGGACGATATGGTCCGCATGAAATCTGCGACTGTGGACATACAAGGATTTTGATTCTTTTGGTCCAAAGGCGGCAAAATTTGCTATTGTCGCCAACACCATCCTACGGATCTCTATGAACTGTAACAACGATGGCTCGATTTGGAGTTTTGTCCTCTCTCTAGCGGAGGAACTGAAGAAATCGAGTTACCCGGCTAAAGTGGTCATCTCTGGCCTGAAGTGGATGTGCAGGCGTGCCAAGAGACCCCTATGGATCATGCTGCAGGAAGTTGTTGAGTTACTGTACATGGGTGACCGGCGACAAAGAAGATGAGGTCCGCCTGCCTAGGCTATCCCTGTCAAGATTTGCGTTTTGGCCCATTCTGAATACATGACCGCAAGTAACATGTTGCTGTTCCCTCGATTTTGCAGGAAAGTCCAGCAGACTGAGTGCCTTTTGCGCGAATGAATCTGCATATCCTTTTGTTCATATATCATGTTTGTCCGTACCTGTATGTAACCTCCGTTTCAGAGGAATATACAGGTATGGATCTGAAAATTTTCTCTATTTTCTACAAATTCAGTAGGTGCTATGGGATCTGGCGCGCCTTTGCGCGTGGATAAATCCGCCTATCCTTTTGAGTCTGGGTGGAGTCTGTACCTGTATGAAACCCCCTTGTTGTGGGATATACAGGTATGGACCATGATTTTCTCTAATTTTTATAAATCAGTGGGTAGAGGTACCAAAGGATCTGGCCAGTTATACCTGTATGTAACCTCCTTTCGTGGGAATATACAGGAGCCGACCGAAAATTTTAGCTGTTTTAGAAAAGTAAGAAAAAGTGTCGGACCGAAAGCGGAGGGCGCGCACCGAAATGCTTCTGTAGGCTTAGCATAAAACGAAGTAGTATATTATGATGAGTAGAGAATAGTAAATCCTCAATCTGAGTGACGTGATGAGTGGAAGGGTTGAGTTATCATGGCGGACGACGCCAGGGATGGTGAGAAGGAGATGAGGACGCCATGATATTAAAGCTCATGTTATCTTCTTCTTCATCATTATTGCCATTTGTGTAATTTTTCTCTCTCACAGACCCTGGCATAATCTCCCCTATACTTCTGGATCGTCAGAACCGCCACCTGTCAAAATATAACCTATTTCCCTTAACTAGGAAAATTTCGGCATCGCTTCCCGTAGGAAAAGTGTCTTTCTTAAATTTATATCAGACTGAATATGAAACCAGAAGTAACCTTCAACGTTTCAAAGTCCAATTTTGTCTAACTCCTTGATTTAACAAAAATTTGGGCAACACTCCCTTTAGAAAAGGAGATTTTTCAGATTTTTACTAAGTCATATATAAACTTTAGACAAGTTGAACTTTGACAAGTCAAAATTTGACTAACTCCTTGGATCTGCAGAAATTTCGGCAGCGCTTCCCGTAGAGAAAGTAGCTTACCAAAATTTATACAAAGCCAAGTATAACAAAAGATCCTAAAAAATGCAAAAATTGATCTAAATAAAATAAACTTAGCTCAGAAAAATGCAGAAATTGAACTAACTCTTATCGCTCTAGCACGCGGCGAACAACTAAAGTAACTACCTGCCAAACTGAAACTTAGACTAAGAAGTGATCTCACTCAGCCACATCCAATACCAGACCAAAAAGGTAAGTACTCTCACCATCCCGGAGTATACCTGAATCAAACAATAGTTCATAGTCTTTCAATGATTTAGTCCTTTATACCCAACTTACATAATGTGTAAAGTCAGGTCATCCAATCTTATGGAACATGCCTAACTCAGCCATTGAGTATACACGAACAGGCTGAACAACTACTTATCGCTTTCGTTGGGCATGTGACTAAGTCATTCATCTTAGAAACAATGCTTAGTCACCCTGAACTGTTTAAATAACCAAGTTGTATATACCTCTCTAAACTTAGTGTTCAAAAACTGGGCGTAGGACTGGGTCATTCATCTTAGAAACAAAGTTCAACCTGCCCAAAGTTACCCTCAGTTATATTCTTAATTATAGTTTCTTCAAGTTTATGATAAGCTATAGTCAGACCACCCAATCTTATGGGACCCTGTCTGACCAGCCTGTTCTTAGACAGAGTAGTAATAAGATATAGCCAAATTATAACCTTTCGGGTTCCAGCATGTGCAAGGCTTTGGGCCAGACCATCCAATCTTATGAAACTTGTCTGGTCCTCTGCCAGGTTCGTTCTTCTCTGGTTCAGTTGTGTGTGGCATGAGTCCAAGGATATCCAATCTTATGGAACATGCCTCGCCCCCAACCAAAGTTACTCCCTCGGAACAAAAGCAGGAAGAGGCTGGGCCATCCAATCTTATGGAATTTGCTAAGACCCCCTCGCTCAGAAACTAACGAAACAGAGTAAAACCCAATTAAACAAGGCAACCAAGCCATCCAATCTTATGGAACATGCTTGGCTCCTGAAAGTCAATCACAATTAAACCCTTGCAAGTCAGAGCAATCAATTCGAAAAATAAA